CGCTGCGGGCCACCGGCTGCCCCGAGTCCCTCTTAGGCCCTCTGGGAATGGCGCGCGCCAGACGGCTCCTCTCCCAGGGAGTGTCCAGAAACCGGGAGCCAGCCGCAGGGAAGGGCCCAGGATTGATCACTGCCTCCCCACCAGTGTAAGGGTATCGCCCGAGGTATGGCTAAACGCGTGGGGTCTGAAGTTACTGCGATGGGTTCACAGGGAGGCGCGCATGGGGCAAGAACTCACGACCATCAGTCACCACCCCATGGGATGCAAATCCGGTCCTTGGTACCTGGAGGAGCTGGAGACTAACGGGAGCCACCTGGACTCCAGAGGGCGTTTCGTCCTGCAGAACCCCTGCAGTGAGAAATGGCATTGGAACTCCTGAAAGTTGAACAAATTGAAAGATGCACAGAAATAGAAAAGCTCGAAATCGCTTTTCTGAGTCGCTGTACATCAAAACAGAGTGACAATGACATTGGGCATTATTGTCTTCAGCCATAATGAAAGTAAATATTGACATATGTTTTAAGGAAAATATTTATCTTTTCCTTTTGTGGCCTAACTGGAAACATAGAGACTTTTTCTCCATACTTTTCGCTATGACTATTTCAATGAAACTCTTGGAAATCGGTTTCTGGTGATCTTTTCCTTCATTATTCATGCAAAAATGCTAAAAATAATTTAGTATCGTTATTAATCAGGAAATTAAAAACAAGGCCAAAAAAATCCTCAGTGACAAAGGATGCAAAAGTAACTACTAGATACTCAGTCTTGAGCCTGATGTCTCAATGCAACTTTGATACTAGGAGAATCTTAGTTCTTGTTACCTTTTCCAACTGGGTTTTTGTAGATAAACATTTTAATTAATACCATCATAAAATATGGTTGTGTATTGTTGTGAATATAGATGTCATTCAGTTATTTAATGTTTATATATCCTAAAGTGTGTCTGCTTTATTCCAAATAAGAATGATGAGTTTTATAAAGGGTTGAGCAAGTTCCCTTTGATTTAATACAGTAGCACTAGAAGTTTCCCAAAGTCGAAAGTTAAATCTGATAGGGAATGCAGAAAGCAGTAATGTAATGGCTATGTGTAGAGCCAGAGGGAAGATATAGATAAAGCAGGGAGGTTGTTTCATAAACTATATAAATGTCTAACCAATGTACTGTATACTTGAAACTAATAAGAAAACAAAATGCTTTTTAAAAATTTAAATTTGTGTAGAACATATAACTGGGGTCTTTTATTTGATATCTTATAGTCTTGTCAACTACATGAAAACACCAAAAATTCAAATGTACATAAGTCAGGTACAGGTCTACTCTCCTTTAATTCTTCAGGGCAAGGTATTTCAAATAATATAACTTTAAAATACTGAAAGTTCTAGGGAACTTATGCTCATATTGGAGCTTTCTAACTAGACTGTCTTATGGGCCTCAGAAATCAGAACACCGCTTTAGACAGGTATGGCTTTTCCCCTCACTTTTCAAACACATTGGTTCATAGTTACTACATACAGGGCACATCAAACCAGGTAGCAGTCTACTATACCACTTTTGAAATAGCCTGTTAGTTAAGACAGATTTTCAGAGCCCATAATACAATACCAACGAAAGGAGAGCATTAGAAATTTTTAAAAAATATTTAACCATTTAACTGCTGCTTGGGGTTACAGAAAGGATGTGAAAAAGATTAGTCAAACCAGTAGTTCTCAATTGTGGGTAATTTTGTCTTCTAGAAGATGTTCGGCAGTATCTGGAGACATTTTGGTTGTCACCACTGTTTGGCAGGTGCTACTACTGGCATCTAGTGGGTAAAGGCCAGAGGTGCTACTAAACATTCTACAATGCACACGTCAGCCTTCACAACCAAGAATTACCTAGCCCAAATGTCAATAGTGCCCAGGTTGAGAAACCCTAAGTTACACCACAGATTTCTAAAGCCTCTTGATTCTATTCCCGCCCCGCCTAACCCCCCCGCCCCCACGTCTGCTTATCATCCTTTTCCCTGTGTATTCACATTGCATTTTCTTAGTGCTTGGGAAAGGCTTTCAAAAGTAAAATCCCTTACTGGCAGGGGAGACTAAGGAACTGAGTGGAACAAAAAGTAATTGTATAAATAAAAGTCATATAAATAATAAAGAGAAAAAGATAGGAAAAAGCTAAAATAATAGAAATATTATGATATAGGAAGTACATTAATTGTCCTTTGCAACTTCTTCAGAACCTATTGTGTCTTCCCAACGGCCTTGACCTCCAAAGTGAGAAAAATGAAATGTACCATCATTTTGAAAATTTCCATTAATCAGACATAAAGTCAGTAATTCCTTCTTGGCCACTCCATGGGATGGGCTGTTGTGACTATTCAGAGTTCAAGATGAATGAGGTGGGTTTATTTAAGTGGCTCAGAGGGCAGGCCATAGCTCCTGGGATGGAGTGAGAATCTGTACTACCTATCCAAGTACAGACTTTCTGTCCCTAAGCATGGGTCTATGGATAATTCATTTGACTTCAAACATTTCTTTAAATCTGTAAAATGGGGATAACTGTTACTATCTCAAATATCGTACATCTAAATTACAAAGTTATGATGGTATCTAAAGATAATGGGAAAGTACATCAGGCAAATACAATAAGAATGTATACGAAGACAACTGGAAATCTATATGCAAAAGAATGAAGCTGGAAAAAAAAGAATGAAGCTGGACCACTATCTTACATATACAAACAATTCAAAATGGACCATAGACCTAAAGGTAAGAAGAGCTAAAACTATAAAACTTTTAGAAGAAAACAAGAATAAATCTTGACATCTTTGGGTTAGACAATGGCTTCTTACATATGACACCAAAAGCACAAGCAACAAAAGAAAAAATAAAATTAGACTGTATCAAATTTTAAAACTTTTGTGCCATAAATGCAACCATCAAGAGAATGAAAATATGACCCACAGAATGGAAAAATGTTCTTGCAATTTATATATCTGATAAGGGACTTTTAAACTGAATATATAAAAACTTGTACAACTCAATAGTTTAAAAGACAACTATCCCAATTTTAAAATGGGCAAACGCTGTAGATAGACATTTCTCTGATTAATATATACAAATGGCCAATAATCAAATGAAAAGATACTCAACACCATTAACCAGGGAAATGCAAATCAAAACCAGAATGAAATACCACTTAATGCCCACTAAAATAGCTATAATAAAAAATATAATAACAGATGTTCGTAAGGATGTAGAAAGAATAGAAACCTCATACTTTGTTGGTGGTTATGTAAAATGATGCAGCCACTTTGAGAAACAGTTGGCACTGCCTAAAAATGTCATGTATGACCCAGAAATTCCATTCCTAGGTATATACCCAAGAGAAATGAAAACATATCCACACAAAACATGGATATGAATATTTATAGTAGCATTATCATGGCCAAAAGTAGAAACAATCCAAATGTCCATCTACTGATGAATGGATTAAACAAAATAAGGTATGATCTATGTAATGGACTATTATTCATCAATAAAAAGGAATGAAATACTGATACGTGCTCTCACATGAATCAACCCTGGAAACATTATGTTAAGTGAAAGAAGCCAGACACAAAAGACCACATAGTGTATAATTTTATTTATATCAAATATCCAGACAGGCAAATCTGTAGAGACAGTAATAGTTTCATGGTTGGGAGGAGGATAGTTGGGGGGGAAATATAGAGCAATTCTTAAGGGATATGAGGTTTCTTTTTTGGCATGATGATAATGTTCTAAAACTGATTTTTGTAATGGTTGCACAACTCTATATACTGAATATACTAAAAATCATTGAATCATACAATTTAAATGGATGAATTGTATTGAAATATATGTTATATCTCAATAAAGCTATTTTTAAAAGAGAAGAAAGTCTAAGTAGTAATATTCATATCTGATAAAAGAGATTTCAAGGTAAAAAGTATCAAATGCTAAAAGGCATAAGTCAACAAAAATATATGTCTTGAAACTTTATGTATCTAACAATAGAATTTTTGAATTATTTAAGCCAAAGAGTGAAATAGTTAAAAATCTGCTTTTATAGTGGGAGACTTTTTGACTTTTCTTAGAAATTGACATATCACATAGACAAAAATAACTAAATAGAGAATTAACAAACTTGATTTAAAAGATATCAAAATATGTGCACTCAACAAACAGAAAATATGCATTCAAAAAACAAAATTCATGCAGACCATATTCTTTGATCAAAATTCAATAAATTATAAACGTGCAACAAAATCCTGTGTGAACATTTTTCTTTTAAATAACTCATGTTAAAAATAGGGTGACCATACTTTCTGGTTCACCCAGAACAGTCCTGACAAACACTGATTGTGCTGACATAATATATATATTTCATTCACAGAAGTGTCTCAATTTGGATGATAAATTATACAGTGACCCCGTTTGAAGAATAATCCACAACTGAAATTGGAATCTATTTAGAAAGCAGTGACAAAAAGTAATAACAAAAAACCTGTGGGGATATAACCCAAGGTTTTCAGAGGAAATTTTGTAGCCTTTGATGCATACATTAGAAAATAAAAAAGATTCAAAATTAAGTATATAACTCAAGAATGAAAACAAATAAAAACAAAACAAAAAAGGGAGGAATGAAAGCAGAAGTTAATGAAATAGAGAACAAATCAAATAGCAGATTTGATCAACAAAATAAAAAGTTGATTCTTGGGGTGGAGGGGAAGGCCAAACTCTAGTAAATCAGTGGAGATAAAAAAAATAATAATAATAAACATTTCACAAGAAAAGAGAAAAAACTGAGGTATGGATTTTTAAAAATCTAGATAAAATAAATTTTCCAAAAAAACTAAATTACCAAAAATGACTTAAGAAGGGGTTGGGGGATTTGAATAGATCAATATTTGTAGAAGAAATTGAAAAGTTGGTCAAATGTTTTCCTCTAAAAAGACACCTACCCAGGTGATTTCATGAGTCAGCTCTAACAAAGGAGCCAACCTTTCCCATATAAGGCAAATGGTTTCAAAGCAAGGGAAAAGAGAAATTTCACAACTCATTTTACGAAGCTAGGATACTATGATATCAAAGCTAGACAATGCTGCATTCACACAAAAGATGACTATAGCCCAGTCCCACCTATGAGCACAGATTTAAAAATCTAAATACTAGAAAATCAAAACCAATGCATTAAAAATAATATTACAGTTCTGGAAATGGTGATAGTTGCACAACAATGTGAATGTACTTAATGCCACTGAATTGTACACTTAAAAATTGTTAAAATGGTACATTTTATGTATATTTTACCACAATGAAAAACATATAACATTACAAGTGTTGGGAGAGAATTCTCCACAGAGCTGTCATTTCTGCATGTCTTTTTAGCGGAGGCACTGACAGTTTTTGTTCCTGACTATCTTTTATAGGATGTTTGGAGATAGAGATAGTGTCACCCCAGAGCAGAAGACAGATTTGTTTGTTGTCCAATAGAAAAAAAAAAAATAACATCTCCCTCCAGAGCAAAGGTTGGGGCAGGGTTGCTTGAAGCCCATTACAGAAAACCAAGGTATCTTAAATTCTGGTTCCTCAGCTGTGACATAAACCCACTACATTTGCGGCACCCCTCTAGGCCTACCTGTGTTGTCTCTATGAGATTTGGTGCAAAGCTGCAGTAATAAAATCTTTGTCTCTGACCCAGAAGTCTCTTGTCTTCTGCTGGCACTCATGAACCTATGGCAGGATATCTCACTAGGTTGGGAGTAGGGTAAAATCTCAGACTGCTCACAGTTCTTCACAGTTTGGGCAACAAGGGTAGGCTGCTGACAGACATGGCTATCTGGAAAAGAAAGAATGAAATATTAGGGGATGTGAGAAGAAGGTGTAGAAACTGGTAGTGAACGCTCTCTCTTAAGTGTGGGTGAAGGGAAGGAAATAGGGGTCCCTGACTGTCTTTCCTGTTAATGAGCAATGAGAGGTAGAATTGAAACAAGCTGTTTGAATAGTTTTCTCAGATGGGATAAGAAGAGAATGTCATGACAATGGGGCAGCAAGTTCTGGGAGCCCAGTCAAAAGACAATATGACTATGACTGT